TACAATTGGTTACATCCATTCAATTGTTTAAATATATCCAAAATACGCGAGGCCTACGGTATAGAAAAGAAGTTAAAAGGACAATCGATTTATGTGAAAACACTCGGCACGACAATTTTCAAATACTTAAATACTAAAGTATTAGGTATAGTAGTACTTATCATAGTAACAAGTTTTTGAAAATTGTCGTGCCGAGTGTTTTCACATGAATGATTGTCCTTTTAACTTCTTTTCTATACCTCTATTGGATCATTTCCATGCCATTGGAATAGAGGTATTCATATTGAATCAATTGAATGAATGAAGGCAATTGTGCGCCCCACTATCATGAGTATTCAATTGTTTTTCTCAACATAAAGTGAGTCCGCCGCAATCACTCAGCATTCATGATCAGGATACCGGAAAACCGTGAAGTCCTCCGCTGTCATTGCCCAAAAAATGAAATAATTCGAATACTCAATACCTTGCTCAATACCAACTGCTATGGATAAACCTTCACCATTAGCAAGACGACAAAATGCACCAAAATCCAACCAACTCAAGTTTCCTTATGTACATTGAACATAATTATGGACAAATGGAAATACAAAATCAAATGTTACGCTTTTGTTAATGAATTTATTAAATGCGCCGTATTCATAAAAGTGAAATAGAAAAAAAATATTTTGAGATAGAAAAAAATGATTGAATGGATGTCCAGTGCATTTGTCTACTTTTTTGTGATCGCAAATATTAATTCGAAATTCATTGCATTATTGGACACAGTATATTCCATGAAGTAATTTAACGGGCTGCTATTGCCGTTTTGGGTTGTTTTAATTATCAAATGGGCTGCTCTTAAATGATTCACTGAGAATAAAAGTAACTTATTTTGCCAGTCTAAACGCAACATAAAAAAATCGCCGAACAAAGCGAAACATAGTCCTGTTACTCTATTAAGAAGGAACATGGGATTTTTATATACACTTATTATATGTGACGTTTTGTTCGAATAACAGAATTAATAAGTCCCTTGAGTTGAGAAAATGTTTTGCTTAAGTATAAAAAATAATGATTTTAGAAATAAATTGAGAATAAGCACAGATAGACAATCTTGTATATATAGAAGTACTTTGGTTACGATACAAGTGAAGCCGATCTTTGCTTTCTCAGTGTGGGCATTATTTTTTGTGCTGCTGCAACTTTTTGATCGAATGGTTTATTAAATCATCTGAATCGTCTTTGCTATGCTGAAGACCATCTGCGCCTGTTGTATATTGATGCTCACTTCGTTGTCATCATCCATGTAGTAGCATAAAAGAGCAGCTTCGTGTTGTCATACAGTGTCGACCTCGTATTGTGTTGGTTTGGTTTTGAGTTTGATTTGAACGAATACGCCGAAACCTAAAATGCAATACAATTATTAAAGAGAACTTTATATTTAGATTTAGATTTTATTTCATTTCTATTACGAACTACCTTGGCGAGATCTCAACCTTTATACATATTTGTATCATTGAACATCGTTCATCAATTTTGTTTTGATTCTTCTTTTCGTTCATTCCTAAGATGAAAAATGAGCATAGAAATTAGAATGGATAAAAGCAAAAAATCAACCAATCAATCGATCCAACATACATGAAATATTTTTCGATGCACTCAATTTTGCAATATCGCTTCTTTTCAATAAGAACGCCACAACCAAAACACGTTGTGTTTTTCTTTACTTCTTTTTCTAATTTTTCATTTTTGGTCTTCAATTCATCCAGGTCATGTTTCAATGATTCGATTTCTCCACATTTGGCTTCGAATTCTCTCAGTTTATTGTTCAATGCTGTTATTTCATTGTCTTCGGCTTCCAATATCTTGATTCTGGAATTTAAGCTCTTGATTTTTGCATCTTTCTCAGATATTTCGGCGGTTTTGGAAATGACCAATTGCCTCAATGAATTCATATTGGCTTGATATTTTGGATATGCATAAACCATGTCCTTTGCATTTTTCAACATGGATTTCAGAACTGTATCTAGTGTTTGATACATTTCATCTTCATCTTCATCTTCAGCTTCTTTATCTTCATATTCGAATTCGGACAAACTCCCTATTTCCTCAATATCTGGATTGGATAGCCCAAGATCCAACCGAGCTCTTTTTGTGCGTGTAGAGCAACCTTTTGCTGAAGGCGTATGTTTTCGTATCAACATATTATGATTATCTCGTTTGGCTTCTAAATCACTCCCCGATGCTCTTGAGTGTGGTATACTGCTTTCCTCTGGAAGTTGATTGGGAGCTGATGGTTCCAATGCTATATGAGCCGTGTCA